TCATCTCTCAGCAATGGAATTCTCACCTAATAGAACCAAAATAAGATGTAGTGTTCTCCCTGTTTGTTGTTGTTTGCTTGAGAATGGAGACGCCACCTTTTTATGCCAGAAGCTAAAGGTTACTTAAGCCAACTAGCTTTCACCAAGTACAAAGGTGTCATGTATGGACTTGGCCTTTTTTAAAGGGCTTTGAGCAGTTATAAATGTTAGTAGCTGCACCACGTGTTTTACCCTTTACCCTGCTGTAGACAACAATCAGGAGATTCATTAAAGAGTATCTAAACCACAAAACACTAGTCTTTAGATGTGGTGGCTGCACTAGCTTTCTTTTTTTTCAATTGTATTTTTACCCCTTTCATTCTGCCAGTAACAAACATCCTGTTCTAGGGGGAAAACACTCACTCACCCTTCTGTATCAGGAAAACAGAATAAGATAGAACTGTAGAACCCCACCTCCCCTATTGTCCATAATATAGAGGGTGGGGTTCTGTAGCACTTAGAAAACAATTCAATTGATAAGTCATCACAGGCAGAGCGCATAAAAAGTTATCGGCTCACAAGACTTACGGCAAAATCAACCGTTTCGTTTTTAACTTCCTGAAGAGATAAAACAAAATGTTCTTAATGGTGTAGTGAACAAACCAAAAGGAATGTTTATAGTTACGTTTTGCATACACTTTATGACAATGTAGAAATTTAGAGATGTCAAGGAATTATCTTCCTCATGTGCTCCACCCTTCCTCCATTGACATTTCCTCTTGTGCATCACCCTTCCTTCTTTACCAATATGGTTTCTGTGCTGGTTTTACCAGTTTGTGTGTTGCACAATGACTGTTGCTGTCATATTCAAAGTTGTGAAGCAAATAGATTAGATATTAATGACTGGGAAGCACAGAACATTTAACTAACAAACTATGAAAATAAAGTTGTAACAAGTTAATGCTTTACTACTGCAAGGCCAATACAGAGTTCAGGGGACCCAAACGGACACTGGTGACGCCAAGGGACACTTCATCTTGCATCCAAACTCCCACCTTGCTTTCAACTCACCAGCTTTGCCTAGTGGTTCATGAATACAAATGCACAGATAGATTCCACGAATTCGAGCACAACACCTGGAATCTTTATTCATATAGGCACTTTACAGCAGCAAAAAAGGCCTTGATGCCTTGTAAGTGCCATAGCATGAAACATGTCTAGGATTGTTTGCTGTTGTAAGGTGCTTGTATGCATAGTCTTTTTGTGCTCTACTTCAATTCGAAGGCTCTATTTGTGCATTTGCAACAAAGTTCAATGGTATCAAATCTCTCAAAAAAGATGAGAATTAAAAAAAAGGTTTTGGTTGAGAAAAAAAACCCTAAAGTGTAGGTAATGTCAGGATTTTTGAATCTTGGGAACCGTGAATGAATTCTTATGAATGTAGTTGGATGCTTTCAATAGTGATCACAACAGTATTGGCCTTCTCTTATCCTTGGGAATGACTATAATTAAACGTGGACAAGGAGATGTCTCTCTACTGTGCTGGGCAGTTAAAATTCCCTTATACAGATATGCTGAAAATTTAGGAACCCAGTGCATGTCCCTCCTTCTTCTCCTTTGAGACTTCATTTTTGTACTGGTGCCAGCTACAGCAAGGACAAATGCATGCATCTTGCTGGTCATCTGTGGAGCTGCACAGTCCTCACGGATCAGATGTAATTTGGAGGGGTGCTTGAAGTGGCTATAGTAGATGGCATTGTGCATAACCAGTGGCAAGGAAGGGGCATAATGACATACGTAGAGGGGGTTGTGGAAAGCCTATGACCCTTGAGTTGTGCAGCCAGTAAGAGATCATGCCAAGAGGTCAACAAGTAAATACTGTTTGTGAATGAGTAATGATCTGTCAGGGAATATGCCTGTGAATATGGAAGATAAGTTATACGTTCGGCAGTTTTGGAATTTGGTTAAGTTTGTGGACTGAACAGTAGGCTCACAACTACCCGTGGATGAGGTTGAAAGTAGGACACCATGGCTACAACCTATAGATGTGGGATATGGTTTTTATTTAAAAAATTGATATAGGCATATATATTTTATACTACTAGGAGTTCCCTTTGAGGGTTTTTTTCTTGCCACTATAGTCTTGAGAGATGCCGGTCAATTCGATATGAGAAGAAGAATCTCTCTGAGGTAAATATAGATATACACCGAAGATGTGTGAAATATTATGACATATTAGATATTGGAGAGTTGTTTTAGGTTAATACAGATTGGACCGACAGGGTTGGTCAGCCACAGACTGTGCGGCCCCCTCTTCAGCGCCTGAGTTACCCTCCTCCTGTGGTCCCGTGTGAGATGTGGTACCTGGCTGTTGGAGTTGTTCCATCTAGCCAATGTTATATCAGCTCTGTCCAAACCTGCCTTGAGTCTGCCTAAAAGTGACTAATTATTGAGGTCTGGCTAACAAGTCAAAAATTGACTTAGGACTGGAGGCTTTATCCAACCTAAAACACTGCAAAGCCTCTAGGCTCCAGAACCAGACTAGAACATACTGTATGTAATTTTTACCTGTAGATAACACACATGTGAAAGCATTGACGTGTATAGAGGCTGTAACGGCAATAATCTTTAGCAGTCTCCCGTAATGTGTGTCCTGTCTGTCTGCTGAAACATCTCCCGAGTCTCTAACAACTCCTACTGCATGTTCACACTCTTTGACCATCTCTTGTATCATGTCTACAGTCTGAAAGCTTCCTGTAGCTTTACATGAGCTGAATATCATGTGCAGTCCTCTGATGTCAGGGGCTGCACTTGAGGGCCTCTGCATCAAAAATGTTGACCACCACTAGTATAAGGGAATCTCTTTAAAAGTCTAGCTAAATGGCGAAATACAAATCCATACCTGCTATAACACTTCTACTTCTGTTTAACTTTTCTTGTGATCTGGCCACCCCTGAAATTTGATAACTGACATGCTCCCAATTTGCAGGGAAAAAAACCTTGCCATACTGTTAACAATCTCTCTCCTGTTGGCAAGCTTCCAGTTTTAAATTGAGCACAATCTACAATGCTGCAAAGTCAAACTGGTTCACCGCTTTGTACTCCCCTGCACCTGCTTCCTGTAACCTCCCCTGGACAATATGGTTCTAATATAAAGAAACATTTAAGAGAATTTAGCTATATTCAAATACAGGGAGGATAAGAAAAAAGGGGGGGTATGAAATGGGGTGGTAGGAAAAAGGAAATATGAAATGGGGGGCTATAAAATGGGGTGGTAGGAAAAAGAAAATATGAGATGGAGGGGATATAAAATGGGGTGGTAAGAAAAAGAAAATATGAAATGGCGAAGGGGATAAGAAAGAGAAAATATAAAGAGGGTGTATAAAAAAAGGAATTTTTTGGGAGGATGGGGAAATGGGAGATAGGAATCTATGGGGATAACAAAAATAAATATTGGTGAGGATATAAAAGAAAAAACTAAACGGGGAAGGGGATACGAAAAATAAAATATAAAAAGGGGGTATAAAAAAAGGAAATTTGAAATGGGGAAGCAAAATTAAGTGAATCAACAACAGTAAAAGATGAAACAGCAGATAGATACACGCAATATTTTCAAGCCAGTGCACTTCCATCTATTAAAAGACAGGGAATTCCAGAGTTTCTGTTTGGCTTGTAAAGCAGAAAGTCAAGTTTCACTTGTCCAGTTCCAGTAAGCAACAGAGAGGTTGAAAGAAGGATGGGAGTGGCACGCTGCAGGTGATACATTTCTTTTTCTTATTAAGAAATTACACCTTTAAAGCGGAATTATAGTCCCACTTTGAAAAACTGCTCGGAGCAATAGTTGTTTTTTTCTTTTTGGCACAAGCCATGCAAAGTCTCGTAGCGAAAAAACTTTCACCACGCTTAACAATTTTATTTGTTTGTTTTTTGTTTCAACCTTTTATTGCATAGTATTTTAGTATTTGCAGCACTAATTTTTTATGTGAAACCGCAAAATGATAATGGTAAATAAATAATAGTAAATACATTGAAAAAAAAGGCAAAACTGAAAAAAAAAGTAAATGAGGAAAAAAAAAACGAGAGAGAAATAAACAGTTTAAATAGTGAAAAAGAACTTGAAAGAAAATGATGAAAGAGGCAAAATTTTGGGTTTAAATTTACATGGCACAAGATGATAGTATTTCTGGCACTATTTTTTTTTAACTCAAACCACTAAATCATAATTATAGAAAAAGGAAAGAAAAATAAGCGTGAGAAAATGATGAAAGACTGGCCATACACTGGTAGATTTCTGTACAAATGTTCATATGAAAAATCTGGTCCCAACAATCGATAATGTCATCAGAGAGTTAAATAACGTCGTTTACAATCTCGTTTGATTTTAAACAATTTTAACATTTGATTTTGAAATGAATGGAGTTTCCCCCCGAACAAAAACCACATCCACTGTTAGAAATTGGTTCCATCGAGAAAATGTTTCCAACCTGATGATTTTACTTTTTTTTGGCAATGCAGTCGAAATCGATCGTCCATCAACTAATAGAAAGCCGAAAAACAAACTTTTTTTAACACAATTCTATTGGTGTATTGTGACCTCTTAGTAAAAGAGTGCAAAAAAAACAAAGATGAGCAAGAACCAAAATGAATGGAAGTGAAACTGGAAAGAAATGACTTAATTGTGCATGGAAGCATAGTGATGCTAAACTAGGAGAGTAAGCTTTTGTTCGGTTTGCAAAGTAGAAAGTCAACCTTTTAAGCGATTATCTCTCTGTTACTGTTGCTAGCATTGTATATTTTCCAAACAAACCACAGGGGTCTGGGAATGCAGGGCACTAAGAAAGGTAGCAGTTGGGATGGGAGCAGCACCTTGCAGGTGATACAGAGATAAGGTGGAGGGGAAAGGGTGACGTGGGAGCGACTGTGACAAAGAAGGGAGGTGGTGAAAAACCTGAGGTCACACTAATTGCTGTATCCTCCCAGATTTGGCTCAACGATTCTGTATAAATACCTAACTCTAGGCAGACTTGTCATTCAGCATCTTTTATTCCAAGACATCGCTACAGAACAAGTAAGTCAAGTAAGTTTCAGCTATGATGACTTTTCTCATTGTTCCTTTCTATGTGGGGCTGCTCTCTGGGCACTGAACTATATTACTTGAGGCAATACTGATTTTTTTAATTATTATTATTTTTTATTTTTATTATTTGTATTATTTTTATAAAGATCAGGTAAGCTGGCATGTTCATGCCAAAAGATATAGATAGATAGATGATAGATCGATCTGTACAATTGAATAATTGTGGCGTGAACACACCAGCTTACCTTACATGCATGCTTATGTACAAGGCAGACCTCTGCTATGCCAGCCTTTTCTCAACTGGCAATTGAGTGATAAGATATTTAATTTCTCTTTTTTTTATCATTTTTTTTTAATCAAATGTTTTTTTCCGGGAGATCTGCTGACTAAGTTATACGTGCAATGGTATTTTTCTGCCCATTAGCCTTTGATAATTTCATAGATTGAATAGGATTAAAATATCAAGCAGCTATTATCTTCTATCTGCTAAAAAGCGATGCAAGCAGACCCATTGATTAGGATAGAAGAACTAAACAGAGCACCAGCAGGCTGCAATATATAGCAGCTAAGAAGCATCCCATGTAGCAGTCTTTTGTTCAGTTCCTCATAACCACTTAGTCCACCATCTGTATGATTCTCAATATCTAACACTTGCCCTGGTAAAGGGGGCACTATCAAATACCCGAAAGGCATTGGATACCTTTACGGATTTTTAGCAGACTATTTTATGGAAAATAAACATCTTTGGACTCCTCAAGTATGACGTTCAGTCTTTCTGGCTTGAAACTAAATTATTGTAAGCCCTTTCTGCCCTCTCGATGCAAACCCAACAAGACTGAGCCACTCCATGTTAATGCAATGCAACCACCTGTTTGGGGAACCAGCACCATACAACTCTATTCATTGGGGCATGTGTAGTAAAAAAGCTTGGATGTGCTAAATGACATAACGCAGGGCAACCAATAAGACATTTCCTGAACTCATCCAACTACATAAAAGAGATTCAATTGGCTGCTATAGCTTCCCAAATTCTGAAATTTGAAATCTATTTTATGAAGTCATATTAATTTTCACTCCTGGATGTTTCTAGACTTTGCCACTTTGATTTTCACATGCGGTACTTTGTTTTCTGTGTTTTCTTTGGTATATCTGTGAGATTCTTTTTTTGGGGGGGGGGGTTGCATGCAGTCTTATAATTAGCCCCACTCTGGAATATTGCGTTGTTACGTGGAACGTATTTGCACTTCTTACCTCGGAGCTTGTAAGTAAACATGCGTACAATGCATGCAGAGTTTCTGTTTGCTTTTGTCTTATACGTAAAGCTTTTGTAGCTTACTACTCTTATGGCTTAACTGTTTTGACATGTGTCGGATCTGTCGGATTATTATAGAGCTTTCTGGATTATTCAGTACAAAAGCACAAGAAGCAAAGCAGTACTAAAGCATGTAAACCACAGCAACCAGTTATTTAATTTTTTTTTAAGATAGATGACTTATTTTATTATTATTATTTGGATTAGCTGCTTGGGTTATTTCACATTCAAATTTGCTTTATTAAACAAGTTTATTTTTAACCTAACCTGAATGTTCTTTTGGTGGACATGGGCTTGTTAGGTATACAACTGCGTCAACCTTAAATATTCCATTTGTAGGTAGAATATGTGGGCTGAGTCATCCAATGTTCTGATGAGTGATCTCCCCCATGGTAGTTCACACCCACCTTGCCACTTTTTGGTCTTCCTTATAAGGTCAACTTAAAAAGCCAAGAGAGTGGTGGCCCCTCCATGGCAGTAATAGTTGTGCGGACCTGGGGACTCAATGTAGAGTTCTCATTAAGGGAGACCATCTATTCTGCGTGGTCTGATCCTTTATTTTAACATAACTGGGCAATGAAAGAGAGACATTTTGGAGGGGGGACAGCTTAAATTCAAGACACACAATCAGATGCTCAGGGACGGGTTTTGTTTTGTGGCAGCATTGTATTGTATTGTAGATAAGCTCAAGTTGTAACAAGCTGTAGCCTTTAAGTGAGTCTCCATTCACGCTTGTGCATCTGCATTTTCATGTGTTTTTTTTAGTGCATACCGTATTTGTTGTGGATTTTCATGTTGAATAGGGTTTCTTGCATTCAGGAGTCAAATATAGTATAGGTTACTAGGGGGTGGGGCTTGTCATGATTGCACAATAATTACTTTTAGGTGTATTTTTCATATGCTTTCCTTCAGGTCAGAGGGGCTAAAAATGCATTATGCAGCATCAAAGGAACCATTTGATGTGTGTATGAGTTCCCTAGAAAATGTTGGGATTCCTTTTGTCGTGTATTGTGGTACGGCGACCAAAGCACTTCAAACACGTAGATACGAATGGGGACTATATCTGGTTTACTGCTCCTGTTACTAAATCCCCAAATATATACACATTAAACACTTTAAGGCTATTGCTACTTCTGATCATCACCTTATAGCATTCTCTATGATACGCCCTTTATATTATGTAGGTGTATAATAAAAAGATTTTCATGGGTCAAGGAACCCTTTTTACAGTTTCTTCAATCTATTGGTGGCCACCTTGTACAGACAATTCCTGCATTTAAAGTCCCATCCGCCCGATAAGTGTGTTTAACTCACAATTATTGAACTTCCTCTGTATTGTTATATGGGGAATAAGCTAAAACCCGATCCCCTGCCAGGACCAATTGCCCTAGATCCGGGATCCTGTTTATCATTGGCATGCTGTAGGACAGAACTGATAAATGTCTCCAATGTGTTTGGTACATATTGAACCTATTCAATAATTGCCAGATATATTGCCTATAACGGGGACTCTTTCTAAATTCAGGGGGCCTGCATGCAAGGTTATAAGTTGGGCCACCTTTCCTGTGTCCAGGCTCATTTCAATCAATATTTAAACAGTTTAAACTGGTCTTACCCAACATTTTCACCATGGAGAAACCCTTGAAATAATTTCCATGTTTTAGGGAACCCCTGATGATAGTGTTTTTATATACAGCCCCTATAGGCACTGCTCTATAACACATCAAAAATTGTAATTGATGGTTTCACATGTTCGGTTATACTTGTGATAGTGTTACTTGTTGGAAGGTGGAGGATTGTGGATACCTGAACTCCCCACCCCGTGCTTGACTATGGTTTGCAAGCCTAACCCCAACTTATTGAAAAACCTGTATTACATTTCCAAAACCTTTTCACGGAGACACTTGCAAGTTTAAAAACATCAAACGTGTCTCAGTGAGATAAAGTTCAGTCTTCTAAAGTCTTAAAATGTAGACAAGTTTTTTTTAAAAAGTATTAAAAGTGTAAAAAAATTAAAGTATATATTATTACAGACATTGGCCAATGATAACAGACAAGAATCTGAACATGTGAATGTTTTGGCAGTTAGTGCATCCCACTGATCTCTGGAGACCAAATATAATTGCAGCTCTTCCTGGAACAATAGATATACCTAAAATTAACTGAGGTTGTTTTGTAATTCTGGACCCCTGAAGTTCCCATGTTGCTTGCTTATTGTTCTTTCAATTTCCTAGTCATTATTATTCTTTGTGCTGCCTCATTTTAATAATCTTGCATTATAATATCCTCAACAAAGGCATGGACCTTGTGAAGTACTGAACCAGAGATATTTATTGGAACAGTGTTTAAAAAAGAGGAGTGATTAAGATTGCTTTTTGTATGCAATCATAGAAAGAAGGGAGTAAGTGCAAATAAAAGATTAGAGGTTTATTAGTACATTGCCTTCAATAAACCAGAGCAGCATGCTATATGACTAAAATCACCCAGAATAGCCATGTTTTTAAAGCAGGTGATTGGTTGACCGCAAGTGATGCGATGTAGCTGTAGCCTAAAGCTAGCCATAGACCTATAGATTTTCTATGGTCAGATGGAAACGGTATAACAGATTCCTCCATCTACGCTAAACTGTTTGGATGGAGGAACCTCCCGCTGGGCCATGCCTAAGTATCTTGCTAGTCGGCCCAGCTGGCTCCTAAAACACCTGAACAATGCCTGCATCCAATCAGATTGTTCAGGTATTTTGACAGCCAGCGGGGCCGACTAGCAAGATACTGAAGCTTGGCCCAGCGGGAGATTCTTCCATCCACACAGTTTAGCGTAGATGGAGGAATCTGTCGCACTTTTTCCATCTGACCATAGGCTGATAGAAAAAAATCTATAGAACATCTATAGGTGTATGGCCAGCTTTAAGCATAAAGCAGAGCTGTAATATCTAAATGGAAAATAAATATATTATTTACATAATGTAGAACTCCAGCCAAACCTTTTAACTTCTAGATAAAGCCAACTGATGGCCAACGTTTTGTTATGGATAATGTGGAAGGGTTAGATCCTCTGTCTGATCCTATTGCTGAATGTCTCCCTGTCATAGAGACTTCCTTCATGTTCCAGAGACACCTTCTACGGCTGAACAGGTCATCCCATTGGACGATACTGCTATAAGACTGGTGGTGACAACTGTACAATTTTGGATTCCTAGTTATTCCTTCCTAGTGGGAGTGATCACTAACGGGTAAATCTCCCCAATGGCGAAGCAATACCAAACTGGCAGCAGTTCTATCCTTTTCATACTCTATCCAAAACTAGAATAAAGGGTTATTGCTGGAGTTCTACTGATTTCCATATGTATACTAAACATTTTTAGCATAGAAAGTCAGGAGAGAAATACGTAGGTTACCTTTGCAGACCTTTTCTTTTGAAAATGTTAGCTGCCTGGCTGTTACAATGCTGTGACTTCAATCATTTGCACCACTGCCCTGGAACATGAATAAATATAAACAGTGTTTACTAAGTATTAAAGTAGAACTATGAGGTGAGTGCTTATCACTCACCTCATAGTTCTAGCCGACCTGCGACAATGAGACTGTCACAGGTCGGCTCAGTAGATCGGGAGGTGAGCGAACACATACCGGCGTTCGCTCACCTCTCGATCCTGTCACGGCTCTCTGCCGTAACAGGGGAGGGGCTGGATTCCCCTCTCCCCGCTCCGATCCGCCAGAGCTGACTGGCGCAACAGACAGGGGGAGGGGGCGGATACAGCTGGCTCTGCCTCTAGATAGGCAGAGCCAGCTGTCAGTCATGCAGCTGGGCGGATCCAGACATAATTGTCGGGATCCGCTTCAGCTGCGGCGTATCAGTATACCGCGAGCAGTAGCTCCCGGTATACTGCGGCGTCTCAGTAGACCGCAAGCTACAGCTCACGGTATACTGAGCCTAGGGTGACGGGAGGACGCTAGTTTGTGTCCTCCCGTTACCCTAAGGAGAACTATGGGGAAAAGCCTTAACCCCATAGTTCTCCTTTAAAGCCGAGCAGCTAGCATTTCCAGAAGAAAGCCAGCAGTAGCAGCGCACATATTTTGCTTATGACGGCCTAAGTTCAGTCAACCCACTACTATTTATGGAGGCGGATCTTGAGGACGTCAAGGTTGTTGACATGGGTCAGCAGTGACGGGAAACTGTTGTTTTTAGAAAGAATGTTTTGATAAATCTGTGGACAGTGACTCCCGTTCTATCTCTGGAGACCTGATATAATAGCAGCTCTTCTCGGAACGTTAGATAAACTTAGAAATGAGCTGATGTTGTGACTTCTCTCAGGAGACCTCCAGCCGCTTCTGCATATGTTTACACCATAAACTGATTGCTGTGGACCTTGTGTAGCCAAAGTCTTATTCTTTCCTGTAGGAACCTTTTTGTTTCGATATCTATACTGAAAAAAATGACAGCTGGAATTTGAATAAGGGCAAGAGCAGCAGTTTCCTTTAGAACCATTAGAATTTAGTAAGCAAGAGCTGCCTGTCCTTGTATTGGCTCTGAATAGGACACAGTTACATCAGCTCTGATATACTGGCCCTGCTCGCAAATGCCAAGGGTAGTAGATGGCCAGGCCAGTGCTAAATTTTGATATAGACCTTCCTACAGATCCCGGAAAAAAGAAAAAAAATATCTTATTTGGGTAGATGCTAATATGAGGCCAGCTCTGGGACTCTCGTAGTGACTGGCGAACCGTTTAAAGTGAACTTGTGCTTTGTCCACTGGCCCGGATTCCCCACAAGGCCACTGAGGCCCGGCCTCGGGGCGGCAGGGCGCAGAGGGGCGGCAGCAGTGTCCTTGTGGGGAGGTTCCGGCCGTTGGGCGGTAAGTTGCCCTCTCTACATTTAGTCCTGCTTTGCACAAGCAGGACTAAATGTAAAGTGAGGCAGCCTCCCCTCCCCCCTGCACTTACCTCTCTCCTCTGGTTCTGTCCTCCGGGCTCCGCCGCCGAGTCCGTCTCCTCACTGCAGTGAGCAGTAACCCTGCCGCTCCGTGTAGACAGTGAGAGGGGAGAGCTGCGCTCTTCCTCTCTCCCCTTCCACAGGAGTTCCAGCACAGTGCTGTGCTAGAACTCCAGTATTGGAGGTGACAGGGTAAAGTTTTAAAAAATAAAGAAACAGTAAAAAAAAAATTGAAATTAAACTATCCCCGCCGCCATGCCATCTGGTTGCCATTCTCCATTGATGGGAAGGGGGGAGGGGGGTTGGCACGGTGCGCGCGCGGGTGGGTGTATTGCGGAACCTGGCCTTGGGGCGGCAGGGAGAGTAAATCCGGCCCTGTTTGTCCATGCATATTATAATGCCAGCCCCAGCTGATTATGCTTACCTTTCCATCACTACCCGGATGCTCTCAGGCAGGAGAGAAAATAAGACTTGTGTGTGCTCCGAGGTCATAGTTTGGACCTTAGACAGGGCTGAGCAAACCTCCCTATGACAGCCTTTGGTACCTCGGTGGCCAGTCACTAGCAATGTAATTGAAAAGAAGGGGAGCAAATTGCATGCTCCCTCATACCCCGAAGTACCAGATATCTAACTCCAGTTGCCGGAGTATAGGGAAGGTAAGCAGGGGTGGACACAGGTTATGTTGTGACTATGCAACTACCTCTGGGATCTAGGGCACATTTACATTAGATTTGGGTTGCCGGGTGCTGACCCTTTCCCTTATGTCCCCTAGACCTGAACACTGTTTGCATCTCCTGAACTTGATCTATGCACAGTGAATATATTTGTATTTGAACATTACTGAATGTGGGAACCCAAACTTGTTCATGCACAGGGGGCTGTTGGTGACTTTTTCTGCTGCCAAAGAAAAGTATAAGCATCTGCAGTGGCAAACGTTAAAGTCAACCTGTTGTTTTTCACTGTAAGGTCCAAGCATTGGCCTACTGCAGATTTTGCATTGATTTGCCTACATGTATGCAAGTGGACCTGTCCAGTATTATAGTGTATGAGGGTTAGTGCATAGTTACTGTGTCCTAAGCTTGTTGCTGATGTCTTATTTGTGTTCTGTTCCAGGTCACAATGTCTTACCCAATGACCACCCAGCCCCAGGCAATGCAGGGCTACACTACCAGTAACACCCAATGGAACTCCGATGTTATGGACTGCTGTGAAGACATGGGCATCTGTAAGTATTAGTAGGTTTTAGTAAATGGCATAGTAATGACTAATATTACTTCCTGTAGGTTACAAATTGTGACATTGAAACTAATGGGCCTGTTGAATGAAGATTTTCCAGCAGGCTGGCAATTTGTGTGCTAAATAGTACTGATCGCTAGACAAGCTTAATATCTCTGAAATGTTTCTCCTGATGCACCAGTGTGAACTTGCTTTGTGTTTGGGATATAAAGGTTAAACCATATAGATAAAAGCTGGCCATTATAAGCACCCCAAGCAGTATTATGTCTTATTATATTATCATATATAGACCAAAATAAATGCACGTGAATTTAAAGTAGAACTGAAGCCAAAACATTATTTTTAGTTTTGGATAGAGTAAGGGAGGGTTTTAACCCCTGTCAACTTTTTTTGCCATTGGGGTCCCATTGGTGAGATCTCCCTTCACTTCCTGTCTGATAGCCACAACAGGAAGTACGATTCAATCCCTGGCAGTCAGCAGGGTCACCAGAAGTAGTGTCTCCATTGGAAGACTACCCATCTGTTCCTGTTCGGGTGAAAACCCAAAATTTGGGATTTTTTTTCACAGTCACCAGGACAAATGGAGTGGGTGAATCTCTCTAACGGGGACACAGACAGCAATAAATACCTGACAATAGTTCTAATCCCTCTCCACTCTATCCCAAAACAACAAGCTTTGGTTTCAGTTGCAGTAAATGTAATTTATGACTAATTTCCTTAAAGGAGAACTATGGGGTTAAGTCTTTTCCCTTTCTGATCATTGTATTCTTAGCACATACTCTTTGATGTCATTACATAATACAGTATTATCACAGAACCGCACACACAACTTCTGGTTTGTGATCAGATAATAGATAACTTTCCGTTACACTACTTTGATGGCCTTTTCTTTTATACTGACATTGTTTGTAAACTACATAAGTAACACGGGGATTAATCTAGTAACCATCCAGTCACATCATTACCTTATCAGTCATGTGCAAAGAAATACAATTATATTCTTGTAAATTCCTCTTCATGTGTTTGGGTGATTCCCTTACCCAAGGACCCCTGAACACTGTTGGGGGAACGCGTGCACCACGGCAAGGTTCCATTTATTTGAAATGGCACCCTAACGCACAGCAGCGGGCAATGCAGCATCACAAAGCACATGCGTACATTGTGGTGTACTGTATTAACATTTTTTTTTTTAAAGGTCAAATGTATTCCCTGTTTACAATTCAACTCCAGTTTGGATATTAAAACAAACAGTGGATCCCCCAGCAGTGCCAACAAAAAAAGCAGCTCCCAGTGCTATACTTGCCCGATCTTTAGCACTATTGCCCAGCAATGTGGTGCAGTTCTTCTTCCTGGTAAAAGGTCATAAACTAAAAGCAAATCTGTATCTCTATAGTAAATTTCCATAAGTTCTATCCCACTAATACCCATATCCATCTAGAAGTCTGTAAACTTACTTATTGAAGATGCCCATAGGATGCACTGACACCATTTCACTCAGCCCTGTGAATATGCACTTCCTTGTGTCTGAACAAGGTAACATTTTCATTGCTTGCTGGAAGCAGTGCATGATGGGATGCGTAGTCTTGAGAAATGGAAATTGCATCACATCAAGCAGCAGGGAAAGTGACACAAAGCACACAGGGAATCCAGGAAGATGATGAAAGTGATGGGCAGACGGAAGGGAAAAAAAATTAAAGGGATTTTTTCATGTAAGCTTTAATCGCATTATCAGAAACAACTCTACTAAGTATTCCTATTACAATGCTGATGTTATAACAGGAGAGGAGATGCTTGGACTTTACAACTCCTTTAATTGATGCCCAGCATCCTTCAACCCACTTTCCTGGCTGTATCATTGACCCAAAGTTCTTCTCTTTTTCAGGCCTTTGCGGAGCATTTGTCCCATGCATTTTGGCGTGCAGAGTAGCCTCAGACTACGGGGAGTGCTGCTGTTTGCCGTTTGTCGGCGGTGCCATTCTGGCCATGCGCACTGGCATAAGGGAACGATACCACATTGAGGTACGGATTAGACTTAAACAGAATGTGCATGCTCATTTCTCTTAGTAAACTATTAAAATTGTGTTTTTTTTTAAAAGGAATGTATATATGTGTATGTATATATGTATACAATGTAATGTAAATGTATGTGTGTATGTATATGTGTGTGTGTATATATATATATA